AACCCTGTTGATGAGCATACGCTCATCAACGTGTTCATCTACGGCCTTGTAAATTGGTCGGTGAAGATCTACGTGTTCCAAGAAGCCTTTCATACGCTGGAAGACGATAGCGTATGCGGAAAAAGAAGACTTCAGCCTGAGACAGTCTCAGGCTAACTCGTCAAACTATCGTCCGACGAGACGACAAGAAACAGGAGGTCCCGAACCAATGGACCTCTGTTGCATCGAGAGCGAGAACTCTCGATCTCTGAGTCACAAGCGAACGGATAGATGCCATCGCTGTCAGAAGATTGGACACTATGCTCATTAGCGTAGTGTCCCAAGCACCGCCACACGTCCAAAGACAGGACGTAAAGATCGCCGTTGGCCGAGGAAGGGTCCGTGGCTGGGTCCGACCATGTCGCCAAGCCGCGACAGCAAGTCGGACCGTCAAAAAATGGTCAGGGTCAGTAGGGGCGGAACACCCTGCTGATCCAGCAACGTCAAGAGAATTTGCATTACTCTTGACGAAGATTGCTCCCAACACACAGTCGCTGTGTGTTACTGCCCCTAGTGATGAGGTGTACCTCATCTCTTTGAAGATCTAAGTGACAAGTGGAATGTCACTTCGCGCCCTAGTTGACTGTGGGGCGTCGAAAAGTTTTATTCAACGTCAGTCGCTAGAGCACAGTAGGCTCAACTATGTTAAGCAAGAGTTCCCTCCAACGAGGATGAAGGTTTGCCTTGCTACAGGCGCATCCGTAACATTGAACAAACGTGTAGTGGGAACCCACTACACGCTAGAAGGAAAGCAGTCGAATGATGACTTCATCGAAATAGATAGGGATGACAAATTTGATGTCATCCTTGGTCTGCCATGTCTTAGAAAATACCTGCCATGTGTTAGCTGGCAGCATCAATCCGTGAAGACGCCTGCCGTTTGTTCATCAGATGGCCATCTGATAAACGTCTTGTAGCGTCCACAAGCGTGTGATGTACTACGAGTGAGTGCGATGGTCTCACTTGTGGTACGGTCATTAGTACGATTGCACAAGATCACAGTGTAGAAGACCACTTCACTTTGGAACCAGCTTCCGGCACCTGACACACGCTGCGCCGAAGGTTCACCACTCGAAGAGATCGAGTGAACTGGAACACGGATGCAAACCAAGAAGGGTGCATCCGAGAAGAGAGATTAGTGTTGTTCAGGATAAACAGCACGTTGAAGCGAGATCGACTATCAGAGAGTCGATCGTAGAGCAAGCCCGATCGACTGAAATAGAGTTGATCGAAGAGAACGTGACCGTGATAGTACCCGTAATGGAAGAAAAATTTCGGCGTTCCTGATAGCGATAACTCCGAGAGAGTTATGTTGAGGGTGTGGATCCCCAGCCACCTGCGGATGCGTTTTCCCAGGAAATCACCGAGCCAGTGAATGTCTTGGTGAATGAAGGATCAAGTGTAGGCGCTTATACACTTGATCTGGTGACGCCCCCGAAGTCAGCTTCGGAGGTATTCAAGTTGCCAACTCTAGAATCTAAACGATTTTGCGAGATCTGCGTAGTGACAAGATCGAGCAGATTTGTGTACTCGTCACAGAGGACGAGTACGTCGCCGATATTCGGTCGGCACAAGTGTTTGCTGAGAACGAACGGGTTCTCAGTAGCTCATCGATGGACGAGAGTGTCCTCGATGAGAAGACTCGGATTAGGTGATACACGTCTCAATCTTGGGAGTCTTTGAAGACAAATCTTTTGTATAAGGATTTGGTTGAATTTAGGGATGTTTTCCCGGGATCCGTGCCATGCAAGCTGCCCAAGGACAAAGGCCCTCGGCATGAGATCAAACTGAAACTCAATTCGAAATAATGTGTCATGAAGCAGTGGCCACTGCCTCGTGAACAGGTCACACCGATCGACAAATTCTTTGCCGATCGTTTAGCGGCTGGTCATGTGAGGGAATCAACCCCCCACACAGCTCTCCGACATTATGTGTACTAAAGGCCACAGGTGAATAGCGGATCGTGCACGCGTTCAGCAAATTGACCGCTGCAACGGTATCGTCTCAAACGCCGATACCGAGGAAGGATGTCATCATAGATGGTATGGCAAAAAGTACCATATTTTCGTCCACGGACATGAAGAATGGAATCGATAGATCCTCATCCGTGAACGGGAAATCCCGTACGCAGCAGTGAGCACCCCCAGTGGTATGCTCTGGGAGTGGCTAGGGATGCTACAGGGGCTAAGCAACGCCCTCGCAACGTTTAACAGATGTGTTACGAATCTGTTACGATCGGTGCGCGATTTCGTACGGAGTTACTTCGACGATGTCTTCGTCCATAGCCGGGCTATGGATGGAAAGAAGGACGTGTAGGTTCATTGAATCCACGTTTGGAAGGTTCTTACAATAATGCGAGAGCATAAGTTGTTCGCGAACCTCAAGAAGTGCATATTCGCAGCGAACAAAAAACCACTTCTTGGCTGCATCGTGGGTAAAAACGGTGTACGCCCTGATCCAGAAACGACCAAGGCAATTAGCGACTGGCCTGTGCCAGTCGACGTCAAGGGACTTCGAAAGTTCCTTGGCGTAGCGGCGTACTTGCACAAGTACTCGCGCAACTATACCGAGATGACCGTACATCTCTCTCGTCTGCTAAAGAAGAAGGAGAGGTGGTCATGGAGCACTGAGTATCAGCTCTTTTGAAGGCAGCACGAAAAGATTGGTATAATCGCCTGTGTTGGCGATTGCAGACCAGGACAGACCATTCCACGTGGCCTGTGACGCCAGCGATTTTGCAATCGGCTGCGCGTTACTGCAGTACGACTCAGACGGCGTAGAGCGCGTCGTCTGTTATCAATCGCGCCAGCTGCAAGCAGATGAGCATAATTACCCGGTGCATTACAAGAAATTTCTTGCCATGAAATATGCACTGGCTAAGTTTCGGGTAAATCTCTTAGGAGATAGGCTCTTCATCGTTTATACCGACCATGCGGCGTTACGCACGGTCTCCAACAGTACACACCTCTCGCAACGAATAGCGAGGTGGCTGTCTTTCTTCGAGGACTACAACTTCTCCGTTGAGTTTAGACCAGGACGACTTAATGTCGTCGCTGATGCTCTTTCGCGACGGCCCGATTCTGAGACGACTGCTCAACCCAACAGTAGGGGTGATCCCACTGTAGCGACACTAATAGTGAGTGTTCCGTCGTCGAATCTGCTCGACGACGTGCGAAAAGCATACACAGAAGATGATTCTCTTTTGCGATTGATTGATGGATTATGTAGCCAATCCATGCAGTCAAGCTTTGAAAAGCTTGTCGTCTCAATGCCGCTCTTCAACCGAACGGTATTCGGTTCGTGATGAACTGCTGTACTATACAGCAGCCAACGGCGACACACCTTGTGTCGTCGTTCTTGCTCATAATGATTTGCGATTGCGCATCATGTATGAGTGTCACGATGCCCCAACGACAAAGGGGCATCGCGGTAGGGAAAAGCTTACCTCAAGGTAAGCCGTGACTTCTACTGTCCCCGCCAGTATGTGTCTGTGCGCAAATACTTCCGTGCTTGCGAAGTTTGTCAACGGGTGAAGCCTAGTCCTTCATCCAGCGCACCCTTGTAGCCTCTACTGATTTCGGCAGAGTGTTTGCAGTCCGTATCGATGGACTTTGTCTTTGGGTTTCCCAACGACGCTCACAAGAATACTGGTATTCTAGTGTTAGTTAAGCGGTTTAGCAAGATGGTACATCTTGTTGCTGTACCGGAGTCAATCACTGTAAAGGGTTGTGCTTGTGTTTTCATCGATACAGTCTTCCGACTTCACGGGTTACCCCGTGAACATGTGTCCGATAGGGACCCCCGCTTCACAGCGGAGATCTGGCAATCCGTGTTCCGTTCACTTGGAACACGTTTGACGATGTCGACTTCTGACCATCCAGAAACAGATGGCCAGACAGAATGCGTCAACCACTTCCTCGAAGGGATACTTCGAGGGTATGTCCACTTGTTTACGAGTTGGAGTAAGGTTTTGCCGATGGCGAAATTCGCCATCAACAACTCGGTGCATGCGTCGACAGCGCATACACCGTTTTTCGTGAATGGTCTACGCCATCCACGTTTACCCGCCTTCTAAGTGTGTGACTATAGTTTAAGGGGGGTTGGACACGCTCGAACAAAAACCGATCTGGTTCTTGCTCATCACCCGTCGACAATGGTGTCGACGTGATGGATGCCGACGTCGATGCGATCGACATCGATGATGATGATGACGACGATGTTGGTATATTCAGCATCGCTAATGACTGCCACAGTGAGGACGATGAAGCCCTCACTGGTAAAGACAACGTTCTTTCAGCAGTGCACACAAAGCGCACAGCTGTTAACAAGGACGAATCAGCAGAAGAATTTCTGCTGACTCGCGAAGCGGTTGTCCGCTTCGTTCAAGAAGACTCTATTGCAGATGTACTAGATAGACAGAAAAGAAACGCAGACAAACATGGAAGAGCAAATGTTCTTTCATTTGATGAAGGAGAATTAGTTTACTGTCTGCAGTAAATCTACCGAAACACGCAGTGACAAACGTGAGCAGCAGCAAATTACTGCCCAAGTATATCGGTCCATTTCGTGTGTTGCGCCAAATGGGCAACACACACACGATTGAACTGCCCCGTAAGATGCGTACGCATCCTAAGTTTTACGTTGGTCGTCTCCGCCCGTACTATCAGTACGAGCCCGTTTCGAGATGCGAAGAACACCTCCGCGGTCGAGAGCCGAGATCACCTTCGAGTGGTCCCGTTTCAACGAGCCAGTCTGGTCGACTAGCAAAGTAACCTGCTCACGCAGTTGAGCGATGTCTCGACGAGCTGCAGACAGCTCGTCACGAAGAAAACATGTCGAACGTTCGATCTCAAGTTGTGCGAATGCAAACGCGGCACGATTGTCCGAACGAGCGTACGTTAGGGAATTATAGTTATCTCTCACAAGATCCTCCAGCCCATAACGCCGAGTCCGTTGATGAGCTAGGTCATCTTGTAACTGTTCTTGACACGGTTCAGATCCTGAACATCAGGCTGATCCGACCCTCGAGCCGGATCAGGTGCTCCCGCCACCACCACATCCTTCGGTGGACTCTGGCGGCATTCAAAGCTTTCTGGTGAAGTGTAATTTGAACCACCGCAACGTGAATGGCGTCCGGACGAGTTACCTCGTCCTCTGGCGTGGCTATCCACCAGCGTGCGGCAGATGGGAGCCTCGAGTCCAGATGATTGTTGATGTCTTCTGTCTCGTCGAGCAGTACGACGAGACCCACCCGCTGCGTTCGAAGAAGGGCCGTCAGAAAATGACCCCCCCGAACGCGAGTTCAGGGATTGGAAGGTGTCAATCCCTTCGGCCATCTCGGAAGAGATGCGCGCCCTCCAGTAGGGATTATTAGGGATGTAGGCCACCCTAGGGGCACGGTTCGAGTTGTCTAGGCAACCTGGACACGAATCACCCCACGAGAGACAAGGTAATCCTGCCTCTCTTGAGAGCCGGGGCAACTTGTGTCGCATCCCTGCTGGGTTGTGCTTCTCAAACCTGATGCGAGCTGCATCAAGTTTGGCGAGCCAAGCCTCATGGCCAATACACTCGATGTTGTGGATGAGGGCATTCCATCCTTGCAGCAAGGCTTTACCGTCTCGAACACAGCTGTTATTGTACCACAGATGTTTGAAAAACACATCGGTGAATAGTTCTTCCTCAGCACGGATAGTTTCCGTGCTGGAATCAGGTGGACAGATCTTCCTGCAATCGAACAACGGGATTCGATCCCGTTCGGTAGTCATGGCGGCCAACCGGTCCAACTCTCTGGATGACGGCATCCACGGGGACTCCACTTGAGGAGCGTGGCGCAGGACATTTCGGTCCCTGGCCTCTTGATTGGTGCCAGCATGAGCACTGGAATTTAACCCCCGATCCCTTGAGTTACTTCTCTCGTGGTGATGCATGGGTGCATCACCACCATCTCCACGCGTCCTATCGTTTGATGGACTTGCGTGAGGCGGAGAATCATTATAATAATCACTCGATCCGAAGATCTCGGTCGTGATACTGCCGCGCTGACCAGAGCCAGCCAACCTGGCCCTTGCAGTGTCCGCCTTGGGTGATCCGGGAGCGCGAGGTGTCGCCTTCGAGTCGGATGCATCATCCGACTCGCCGGAATAGATGAGTTCTATTTCATAGTTATCTGGATTACGATTCGTGGTACCCGCTGCAGACGCAGCGGATGTACCTGTCGCACGTGGTGACTCACCACGTGGAATGTTTACAACAACAGGCGACGAATCACCTGCTGCTGAGGTGTGAGAAGCACTCTCTCTAGATGCATGCGTGCGTGCAGCCGCCTTTCTTGCTGCTCAGTAGCAACTCGCTTCATTTTCGGAACCACGCGTTGGATTGGCAAATGAATGAAATTCGACCAACAAGTGCTCCCAATCCCAGAGTGATCCAACGGTGGTCACCCTCTCTCAATCAATTCTAATTCAATTAACGGGTGATTGATGGTTAATGGGAGGGGGTGATGTAAAGAGGTAGCCCGTTACATGATATTGACACCAAACGGTGTCAATTGGAATATTGTCCAGTATGACAATATTCTACCGATATTATCCGGGAAGGATAATATTGATGGAATAGTATCCCCTTTTGGATAATATTCATGCGCTGCTCCAAGATTGGTTGAAAAAAGACTTGTCAACCATATATTATCACCAATCGCTGCTAGACGCGCGCAGTGAGTGGTGAGCAGGTTGTCGTCATACGAAGGCGTATATAATAGAGTTAGATAAAGACCTAAATTATATCGATAGCTTAACTGCATAGAATACAGTTCTCTTTTTACCCTTACTTGATCGATTGTTCAAGTAGTTAAGCTTCCTCTGCACGTACTAGTGTACGTATAGTTTCGTGGCACCCCAAACAAAAGGTGCCCCGTTACAAAGAAGCCATACTGGCTTCTATCATGGTATCGATTGGCAGTGGAAAACTCCGCGGAACGGATCCACCTTCATACTTTATGGAAGGGATAATTGTTCGTTTCATAAAAGTGAAGACTTTGTTGATGCATTGAACAAGTGACCTATGTGTCTGCACTAAACGGGGTTTAACCTATTAGCGAAGTTCTGGCAACGCGCCTGCAACGCAGCATGAATCGTTCATAAAGGGTACACAGCAAGAATTCCTACAGGCACGCCAAATGATGAAAACATTGTGACGATGCTGGCAGTCTTATTCACAGTCCACAAAGAACCGGAGGTAGCAGTAGATCACAGCCGGATGATCTTACTGCTGAATTTTTGATAAGCGTACGATACGTTCTCGCGAAAGCTTCTGTTTTAGGTCCTGGAACGATTTGGATTTTCTCAGACGTTCATTTTTATGATACGTAAAATCAAAAAGAAGACAGCACGATCCATTATATCTAAATTTCTATTTCGACTGATCAAGGTGAAGTCGGGGATTCGACTGGGCTGCCTGCTTGCGCCTTTATTCTTCATTTTTCCAGCTGTAATACTAACGTTAGCGAGAGCGATGGACTCTGAGCGTGACGGGGTGAACCGTTATATAACAATTTATAGGAAATTGTTAATAGAATATAACTATTAGAGTTATATTCTCAGAATATTGTCATAAGGACAAATATTCTGTAGCACTTACGAGTAGTTCCTAATTGGTTGATATAGGCCATTATATCACCCAACGAAGACGCGCCTCGACAGACGCACGCAATGAGTGGTGAGCAGATTGTTGATATGCATATTTGTATTCAAACATAGTTAGATGAGGATAAATAGTGATTTATTAACAGACATTAACCATGATAAATACAGTTCTACTTTTTACTTTAACCAAGCACTCTCTTCTTCTTACCGTCTTCCTCTGCACGTACAAGTGTACGTGAAGTTCCGAGGCACCGCCTCATTCTGTCGTCAAAATAGGTAGCTTGTACTGTTACCAGTACAAGCTTCGGGGTGCCCCGTTACACCTGGTAGCACTTCGTAGTCCTTCCTAGGACCACGTTCACATCTAACATGAATATGTTGGATGATGAAGATGACCAAAGCTTTCGCGCTACGCGTGACGGCTACTTTCATTTGAGCGATGTCGAATGGGATGCGGTTGAACGGATGGGGTCAACCATTGGCATCCATGCTGTTAGCGTCATGCTAGAGGCTCTCAACAGAGATGCCCAACATGCTACTATCGCCAAGTTCATTAAAAAAAACTTGACGCCGAACGCGAGAAAGTAGTCTTGCTTCACCAACAAGGTTCTCAACAAGCAGAGTTGTTGCGAGAACAGGGTGCTCAACACTTTAAACTGTTGAGACAGCAGCAGGCTGCTGCTGGCGGGTCGATGCATTCGAGTCGACCCGAGACTTTGAAGATTGACATCTCAAAGTATAGGGGGGTCGAAGAAGACTCCCTCTTGAGATGGTTCGTCGAATTGGATGACGCCATAAGGGCGCGTCGCATCGACGACGGGGATATGCAAGTTGCATTTGCCCAGTCAAATCTGGCAGGACGTGCCAAGACTTGGGCACAGGGGCTCAAGTTGCACGACCCATATGCGTTTGGGTCGTTGGAAGTCTTCAAGTCGCGGCTCAGACAAACGTTTGAACCGCCTAGAGCTGAGTTCAGGGCTCGAACTGAACTCTTGAAGCTCAAGCAGGGTAAGCGTGATGTGCACGCTAACGCGCAACATATACGACATCTTACAAGTTGTATAAGTTCCAATCCGGTGGATGAACACACGTTGGTTTCGGTTTTCATGCAGAGTCTTGCGGATGGTCCCGTCAAGACTCACCTGTTCCGGCTTGAACTAGATTCACTAGAACAAGCCATTTCCATTGCGGAGCAGGAAGACTTCAGTCTGAGACAGGCTCGCGCCAGCTCGACATCGTATCGTCAACCGAGACGATATGACAACGGAGGTCCAGAGCCGATGGAACTCTGTTATGTAGAGAGCAAGAAGGCTCGCTCTACAGACTACAAGAAGTTGCAGAAATGCAACAGATGTCAGAAGACAGGGCACTACGCCTACGAGTGTAGTGCCCCTCCTCCAGTGTCTCGCAACACTGGGCGTAGTGACCGTCCACCCATGAGAAAAGGGCAGGGACGAGGGTCCGCTGTTGGTGCAAAGACGCAACAACGGGATGGACCGTCAAAAAACGGACAGGATCAGTAGGTGCGGAGCACCCTACTGGTCCAGCAACGTCAAGAGAATTTGTAGGCCTCTTGATGAAGGTTGCTCCCAACACACAAACGTTGTGCGTTGCTACTCTAGGTAATGAGGTCTCACTCATTACCTTGAAACTCGAAGTGACGAATAAGTTGTCCCTTATGGTCATTTTTAGTTCAGTGAATGTGACACACCTCCTACGAGGATGACGGTACGTCTTGCGACAGGCGCATCCGTAACCGTCTTGAAGCGTATAGTGAAGATCCACTGTACGCTAGAAGATACCCAATATGACGATGACTTTATCGGATTGGATTTGGATGACAAATTTGATGTCATCCTTGGAATACCGTGGCTCAGAAGGTACGAACCACGGGTAAACTGGCAACATCGAACAGTAACGATGCCTGCCGCTTGTTCATCAGATGTCCATCTGATGAACGTCTTGGAGCGTCCACAAGCGTGTGGATGTACTACGAGTGAGTGCGATGGCCTCACTTGTGGTACGGTCGTTAGTATGACTGCACAAAACCTAAATGTAACAAATGGTTACACTTCGGAGCAAAGTTCCGGCGGCTGTGAGGAAACACAGGCTGCGCCGAAGGTCCACCACTCGAATAAGTCGGGTGGACCGGACTAAGATGTATCCCTAGCGGGGAACATCTAGAAGAGAAACAATCGATCGCTCAGGTTAAGCGAAACGATAATCCTAGATCGACTGGAGAGTCTTTCCGTAGAGGATCTCGCTGTGGTTGCGCAACCCCAGCTAGAGGAAGTAAAGGGAATAAGTCCCAAGATTACAAATACGGCGGAAATAAGTTCCCTGAAACCCGCGGGAATAAGTCCCCGGGAAGACGAAGGAATAAGTCCTTCGAAGCCTGAGGGAATAAGTCCCCAGGAAATGACAGAGACATTGAATGTCATAGTCAATAACGGATCAAGTGTAGGCGCTTATACACTTGATCTGATTGCGCCTCCGAAGTTAACTTCGGAGATCACTCAGTTGCCAACGCTCGAACATAAAAGGTTCTTGCGTGATCTGCGTAGTGGCAAAGTCAAGCAGATCTGCGTACTCGTCGCTGACGACGAGTGTGTAACGGACATAAGGTCAGCAACAGTGTTCACTGAGAAAGAGAGAGTTCTCAGTAGTTCATCTATGGACGAGAGTGTCCTAGATGAAAAGACACGAATTGAGCGATATGACTCCCAATCATGGGAATCGCTCAAGAAAAATCCTCTCTATGAAGATTTGGTTGAATTCAAGGATATATTCCCTGAAACTGTTCCGTGCGAATTACCGAAGGATAAAGGTATTCGACACGAGGTCGAGCTTAAACCAGGCTCGAAGTACTGTGTCATGAAGCAGTGGCCACTGCCTCGTGAACAAGTACTTGCGATCGACAAGTTCTTTGCCGATCGTTTAGCTGCGGGCCATGTGAGGGGATCAACTTCCCCACATAGCTCTCCGACCTTCTGTGTGCGAAAAGCAACAGGAGGGTGGCGGATAGTGCACGCGTTCAGCAAATTGAACGCTGCAACGGTACCGGCTCAGACGCCGATACCGAGGAAGGACGTAATCATTGATGGTATGTCAAAGAGTACCATCTTTTCGTACATGGATTTGATGGATGGCTTCTATCAAATCCTTATGCGGGAACGGGATATACCCTATACCGCAGTTAGCACGCCTAGCGGCATGCTCTGGGAATGGCTAGTAATGCCACAAGGGCTCAGTAATGCCTCTGCCACGTTCAACAGATGTGTATCACATCTGTTGAGACCAGTACGAGAATTCGCGCCGAGTTATTTCGATGACGTATTCATCCATAGTCGAGCTATGGATGGAAAGTCGGACGTTGAGGTTCACAGGTACCACGTCCGACAGGTTCTTACTATCATGCAAAATCATCAATTGTATGCAAACCTCAAGAAGTGTATATTTGCAGCAAGCGAAATACCACTTCTTGGGTGCATCGTTGGTAAGAACGGTGTAAGTCCTGATCCCGAACCGATCAAGGCGATCACCGACTGGCCTGTGCCGGTTGATGTCAAAGGTCTTCGAAAATTCCTTGGGCTAGCGGCGTATTTGCATAAGTATTCACGCAATTACGCCGAGATGACTGTACACCTCTTTCGTTTGTTGAAAAAGAACGAGAGGTGGTTATGGAACGCTGAATGTCAGCGCTCCTTTGATGGTATCAAGCAGATCTTGATACAATCCCCAGTCCTAGCAATTGGCAATCAGGAAAGGCCATTTCAAGTGGTCTGTGATGCCAGCGATTTCGCAATCGGCTGTGCATTAATGCAGTACGATCTTGAAGGCGTTGGACGCGTCGTCTGCTATCAGTCGCGTCAGCTGCAACTAGCTGAGCGGAACTATCCAGTGCATGACAAGGAACTCCTTGCCACGAAGTATGCACTTGCGAAGTTCAGAGTCTATCTATTAGGAGATAGACCCTTCATTGTTTACACTGATCATGCGTCATTACGCACGGCAGTGAACAGCTCGCACCTTTCACAATGAATGGCGCGGTGGTTGTCATTCTTTGCAGAATACAACTTTACGGTTGAGTACAAACCAGGACGACTTAGTGTCGTCGCTGATGCACTCTCATGTCGGCCCGACTTTGAATCAGTCGTGAAACCCAACAGTGAGACAGTCACTGTAGCGGTTATGACGTCCTCAGTCCCATCTACAACGTTGTATGATGATGTGAGGCGGGCATACGCCCAAGATGGTGAGATAGTGAAGTTGCTGACACATCTCTCCCAACCATCTCGAGAATCGTTGAAACGATTGTCGTCTTCGTATCGATCTGCATCAGATCGATACACTACTCGCAACGGGTTACTGTATTATACAGCCGTTTCTGGTGACACACCACGTGTTGTCATTCCAGATGATACTGATCTGCGTTTGCGGATCATGTTCGAGTATCACGATGCTCCTATAGGAGGACATCGTGGCCGAGAGAAAACATATCTCACGGTAAGTCGAGACTTTTACTGGCCCCGCCAGTATCAGTTTGTGCGAAAGTATGTTCGCGCATGCGAAGTCTGTCAACGAGTGAAGTCAAGTCCTTCACTGCGTGCACCTTTACAGCCTCTACCGGTTCCGGCTGAGTGCTGGGAATCCATCTCAATGGATTTTGTCTTCGCGTAACCCAAAGACGCACGCGGGAATACGGGTATTCTCGTATTTGTTGACAGATTCAGCAAAATGGTACACCTTGTGGCTGTACCAGAGTCAATCACGGCAAGTGGCTGTGCTTGTGTCTTTATTGACACCATCTTCCGACTTCATCGGTTGCCCCGTGAACTCGTATCAGACAGAGATCCACGATTCAATGCTGGTTTCTGGCGTTCCGTGTTCAAATCACTCGGAACGCGCTTAAAGATGTCAACATCTGATCATCCAGAGTCAGATGGTCAGACGGAACGTGCCAATCGTGTCCTCGAAGAGATACTTCGAGGATACGTACACTCCTTTAAGATTTGAAGTGAGTTTTTTGCCAATGGTAGAGTTTGCCATTAACAACTCGGTGCATGCGTCCACGACACATACACCGTTTTACGTGAATGGCTTGCGCCATCCGCGTGTACCCACCTTACTCGAGTGTAACTCTGATTTAAGGGGGGGAGGGACTCGCGCGAGCAAAAACCGATTTGGTTCACGCTCATCACGCTCTGCCGAAGAGGTCATAGCGTTTGATGCCGATATCGATAACATCAATATCGAAGAAGATGATGCCAGTGAGAGCGCGGAGCCCTCACTGAAGAAAGGATTGATGTTGCCGCAGTGCACTCACAGCGCACTAAAGCTAACGAGTCATCAGATCTGTTGCTGCAGTGCACTCACAGCGCACTGAAGCTAACGATTCATCAGATCAGTTCATACTGGCTCGTGAAACGGTAGTCCGTTTTGTGCAAGACTCCATAGCCGAAGCGGTGGATAAGCAAAAGCAAAAAGCTGACAAGAATGGAAGGGCAAGCACTCTTTTATTTAATAAAGGTGACTTAGTCCTACTGTCTACGGTTAATCTACCAAAGCATGTGGTGACTAACTTGAGTAGCAGTAAACTTCTACCCAAGTACATCGGCCCATTTCATGTATTGCATCGCCTAGGCAATGCATACACGATCGAGTTGCCACGTAAGATGCGAACGCATCCCACATTTTACGTTGGTCGACTTAAGCCGTACCAACAGTACGCTGCTTCTTCCGATGAAGAACGCCCTTGCGCTCAAGCATCTCGCAGAGAGCCTTGTGCTCCCGATGGTGGGCATCGACAAGGGTCTGAAGAGCAGTTATCTCAGCCCGAGAACGATCAGCAATCCCACGAGCTACCCTTAGCTCGTCACGAAGAGACGTCAGAGCTCTCTCGTTCTCAAGCTGAGCAAAGGCAAACTCAGCTCGATGCCTCAAGACAGTGTCCGCCATTTGGAGACGCCTATTCCGCTCATGCTCGAGATTGCCGCGTAACCCTTGCGTTACGCGATCAAAGAAGCTCTCGGGAACACACGCTTCCCCACGATTGAGCGTAGAGCGTCTTCCCTCCTCCTCCACCTCCATTAGAGGACTCTCGCGGTGGCCAGCGCTATCTAGTTGAGCAGCTGTTGAACCACCACCACGTGAACGGACGTCGGTCGAGTTATCTCGTCCGGTGGCGCAGCTATCCCCCGTCCTGGGATACTTGGGAGCCCCGCTCCCAACTGATGGTTGACGTACTGGGTCTGGTCGAGCAGTACGATGCGGCACATCCTGTGCCGCAGAAAGATCGCTGGAGAATGTCTTCCCAGCACGGTCGTAAAGGGATTTCAGGTTGTCAATCCCTTCGCACATCTCACTAGCGATACGTACGCGCCACCACGGGCTATTAGGGAGGTAAGCCTCCTTAGGTGCTCGTGCAGAGTTGTTCACACAACATGGGCACGAGTCTCCCCAAGAGAGGCAGGTAATCCTTTCTCCCTTGACAGACGATGCAGCTTATAGCGTGCACCTGTCGGGGTTCGCTTTTCAAACTTATCACGAGCTTTGATAAGTTTGTCGTTCCAACCGTCACGACCTACATCCTCAAGGTTATGGATGTAGGCGTTCCACGCTTGAAGCAGTGAGGGACCATCACGTTTATGATTCCCACTGTACCATCGATGCCTAAAGAAAGCATCGAAGAAGAATTCATGTTCAGCGCGATAGTTATTCGCGCTGGGGTTAAGGTGATGGATCCTTGACGAATCGAACAACCGTGTTCGATAACGATCACTCGTCGTCGCCGACAAGTGATCCATGACGGATTTAAGAGGCATCCATGCCTTCTTTTCAGGAGCGAGACGCAATACACTGCGGTCCCGCACTTCTTGCGACGTGCCGATAGAAGTACTGGCACCTCGTTGCGAAGTGGTGTCAATAGGAGAACCGACACCACTGTGAGCGCCCGAGTCTTGCGACTTCGAGCGCCTTCGCTTCGGCGATGGTTCATCTGAATCGTCAGATGAACCAAAGATGCTGCGACGCGTAGCATCATCCATGCCACGCTTGGCAGGATGCTTGGATTCGATCGCCGTCGATACGGATTCGTCTTCCGTATCAGGAGAGTATGAGACACCGAGCTCATACTCTGTGAAGACATGAGCGTCTTCATGACGAGCGCCTGCATCACCAAGTGACACAGGCTGAGTCGCTTCAGCAACCGATGAGACATCAATTGCTGTGGTTTCTGCTTCGGCGTCCGCACATAGACGTGCGGACGCGCTCTCGGCGGCCTTGCTCGCGCATCGCATGGGCTTGTTAACCATGCGATGAGATGTTGGAAAGTGGACGCGGACCAACAAGTGCAAACCCTGTCCCAAATGATTTGGGACGAGTATCCATTTAGTCAATCAGTCACTAAAGTGACTGATGGTTAAGGGGGGGGTGATGTAACGGGGTGAATCGTTACATAACAATTTATAAGAAATTGTTAATAGAATGTAACTATAAGAGTTATATTCACAGAATATTGTCATAAGGACAAATATTCTGTAGCACTTACGAGTAGTTCCTAATTGGTTGATATAGGCCATTATATCAACCAACGAAGACGCGCCACGACAGACGCACGCAATGAGTGGTGAGCAGATAGTTGATTTACACATTTGTATTCAAACATAGTTAGATGAGGATAAATAGTGATTTATCAACAGACGTTAACTATGATAAATACAGTTCTACTTTTTACTTTAACCAAGTACTCGCTTTTTCTTACCGTCTTCCTCTGCACGTACGAGTGTACGTAAAGTTCTGAGGCACCGCCTTATTCTGTCATCAGAAAAAGTACCTTGTACTGTCACCAGTACAAGCTTCAGGGTGCTCTGTTACACTGAGCTTCAAGGCATCTTGGTACTTAGACCTACAGGATAAGGTCACATTTTCTTAGCGTTTGTCGATGTATGGACAGTATATTTAAAAGACGCTGTAGAGCTTCTACGTGCGCTACAAATTGTGGCTGCGTTTGGGAAGTTATGAGGGCTCACGATGCAGCCAGCAAAAATCCAGTGCATAATTCTGTACATGTCTGTAGACGTGTCGGCGTATACTGATTTGCCGACGCTCAAAGCAGGAGAAACGACTCGCTACCTTGGTCACTAAGTTGGAGCTGGGCATCTTTAAGACTTAAATTAGGCGATTTGGATCCGCTACTTGAGGAGACGGCTGGTGACAGCTACTTGGGTAGTGACCAGTGTCGCTCTCAGAGCGCAGATAATGAATGTCTGTTTGCTACCTAAAATACTCGATACAGCGTCGGAATTTGAAGTCCTCAAGTGGGCGTACCGAGAGATTCGCAAAATTATAAAAAATGTGGCGGCACTCGCTATCAACGGAAAAAAGCCGACAGCAGTCAATTCGGGGATTTTGTGCGCGCCGAAAGCGGCTGGTGGAGATGATTTGATCTCGATCGCCGTGGCAGTCCAGGCAAAGTGTACAGCATGCCTTTCTGTGGCTGATACAACGGGCAGAACGGGATGGAACAGCCTAAAAACAGTGAAATAATTGTTGGGGGTCTTCACAGACTATCGAACGTATCGTAACGCAGCACGGCCCGAAGCAGTCACGATACCACCGTCATCGGCTACCAGGAGCATACATCTGGACGGAATCAGGGGTCTGGTTCCAACTAAAATTGACCGAACACGAGGCCCTAATGGACAGAAATGGCATGTATATGCCACTTTTACTTACAGACACCATAGGTTGGAGGGTAGGGGAGCAGTTGACAATTTATCTGTATGCGCCGTTACCTGTACTCGCTTGGGTGTTTTCAATTAAAGCAAAACGGTTATGGCCAACAGTGGGTGGATAATTCCTGGCTGCGAGATGGCACAAAACAGGAATTGACAAGGAGGAAATTGACCGTATATGGCCTTGTGCACTCAGTGAATCAAACATTGAGCGGACGGGACTTACCACGTACATTTTTTCGGGTTTCACTTTTCCACGGGGCGGCGGCGCACCGTACCGATCGCAAATCGATGCGGTGGGCACTCGCGATCTTAATGGGTAGCCCCTTGTTGTACATCGTCTAAAAGTTGAGGTGCAGCGAGTCGTGACATTGCGGAATTCACCGATACTTGAAGAGATTTATCGCTAGTCCTTGTAGAGCCTGGAGTAATTCACGGCTGGGCTGCACTGGCGTCGGAAACAGTTTTTGGGATAACCAATGTGAGACAGGAACCTAATGGCGTCCAATGGAGAATTAATAGGTCTTCTTCCACTCCCTTAGCGTGTCGGCTTGATGAGGCAAATCTCCGTCGAGCTTAGCATAACATGGTCCAGTCGTTGAGGCCCTTTGTATTTTTTACGGATTTCCGTGGGAGGTCCTGCTGACAACAATCCAACCGACATGTGCTCTGTCATCTGAAACGACAAACCTGCAGGACGGTCAAAGCACATTTGGACAGAGCAAATGGGCATACTTTAGCGGTTACAACAATCCGCCGAATGCAATCAAGGCATGCGCGGCACTTTAAAAGACACCTACAGCTTTGTAGAGTCACCGTAACGCGATCGCTGACTACCATGTGTGGGTCAATTATCGCATGGTACTCCATTAGCTATAGTAAAAATTTTATGGGCGGGAACTTGTTTATTGCTGTCGGAAATTGCTAAGCGGTGGTAGCACGAAAGAGACTTGTAATCACATTTGTTGGGAGTACCCGGCAGCGCAAGGGTCTTGGCAGGAGATCTTGACATATTGGACAGGTCCGGTCGAATCTTATGACCGTCTACAGCACTTCAAGGTGTTCAGAATGACGCGGAAACCCCCGCCGCTGTCTCAGCCAATTTCTAGAAGGTACAGAGCGCGTTCAAAGACACCACGGCGGCGTATGCTGCACAGTGCAGGCGAATTTGGTGGCACCTGGAACAATCTGCATGACGACTCTCCGGGTCCAGCGCAACAGGGTTGTACATGAGCACAAAGTGGTGACGTTGGAGGAATGAGGTCAAGAGTTCCAATTGCAAAGTCTTCGACAAATTTGAAAGCGTTAGCAACGCGGGAGCGCCAAAAATGCTCAAACAGGTGGACAGTTTCGTTTCATGCAACGCATTGAGTTATGAGTGTTATACGACCAAGAGCATCGCCCATCGCGGTGAGCCACGTAAAACCACCAATTCACTCGGCACCGGCGTTGCCAACCTGACTAAGGGTATTCCAGACGTCTTGTACACCTTAAAAACTTAGTATGTAGACTGCCTGATCGTCCCTTTCTCCAGTACAAGTGCTTTGGTCCAGAGAACTGGACTCAGTTGTGCGCTCATCACAGTAGGTTAACGCTGGAGGATGTGTTACGCATTGTGTGTTAAGACGTACAAGTTGTTATAGGTTTTATGCTTAAGCGACTTATCGTTGTTGCTGATGTAAAACAAAGGTGAATGAGAAAAGAGAGACGGGGTGATCCTGCTTAGTAGCCTTGTTCGCCACAAAGTGTGACCGACGGCGTATTATTGATCGGTGCAGAAGAGAACCTTATTTAAGGGGACTACCTCTGCCACCGAGAAAGGAGAATGAACAGTCATCCGATACTTTCCTACTCTATCAAGTACCTCGTAATGAGTTTATTCACGCTTGACCATTGTAGGGGGGTTGCAAGATTTTCTTTGCCACTACGTGTTGGGTAGTTGCTAATTTGCCCTCTGTTCGCCCTGACTCACCTTTATGCCAATCATGTGCATGCCTAAGAGCGTGTTGTGACACGCATTTATTATGAGGCCGCGATTCGTGATCGAATTAAAGGGTGACGTCTACGCAGAATATCTACTTAAGGAGAGGGACAGGTTATATCGCACTTAATGCGACGTCCGAGGAACACCTACCGACAAAAGTCACACACAGACAAAAGCAAATTTGAAAGGTCGGCTTTTACCTTGTGTACAGTCAATGATAGCTTCTTCCTTCGACTCACAATTGATGATCGCATTAGAATGGAAGATGTGCCGTATTGGCGGGAACGCACTGGCTCAATGTCGTTATGGCTCCTAGAAAACATGCATCAGGATTAAATCGAAGGGCTAAATTTAAGGCCACCACAATACGACATATCTATCCTCTTACAACAATTGACATCTTAGTAAATGCGCGACCCCTTTACACACACTCGACCATGCTCAGACGACCAAGGCTGTCTTGTTTACTTTGCGTATTCATATCAGGGAAGATCCAGCAGCTAGAGACCGTGAAGTGCATGCACACATTAGCATGCATTTCGATACTTTAAATTACTACTGGATCATGATGTACTGGATCCTGATGTTCCGAGATTTGTTTACTCGTGAGACGTAAAAAAATCACGCAACAGCAATTTTAATTGGCCAGGAGTTGGCTTGAAGTAGTGGATGACCGCTTGTCGGTTTATATCTTGCTTTGTGTACTACACGTCGCGCGCCATGATGAGGGTAACGTACCTTATGCCATACTAGAAAACAGTCTGGTACAACTGAGATGTTAAACGTCTTGTGAAGCGATACCGATATAATTCCCCAAGAAGCCTCGAGCTACTCGTTCTTCAAATGACATATTCTAGCGTCTGTTAAAAATTTTTTGGCTCGCTCTCTGCTCTGACTTTAAGTGGCCACACACTCTGAAGGCACCTAGATCGCACGTATGCTATCATGGAGCAGCACAGCTACATGATAGCATACGTGCGATCTAGGTGCCTTCATCTCGACATGTATAATACAAGAGCTGTCAAGAAGACGCTAAAAGGTTTTGCTTGTGAGTTGCAGCTATTAATCAGACCGGACTTAGTAGTAAATCATTGGAAAAACTGACGTTTATATGTTGCAACTGGCCACTTACATCCATCGAGATTCTATCTAGTCGCACGCCGACAAACACACGGCAGGCACAGGAAGACAAAGCTTTGACGTGTCGAGTGAGGGTGTTTCGTAATAGTGATGGACTGCAGGAGCCTCAATCAACACTTCACGGAATCTTGTTTACGTTTTGCTTCAATTTTCGAATCTCTTGATTGCATGACTATGCAATGGCTGCACACTTGACATCCACAAATATGTGTCACGCTAAGTGACCGGTGTATCAGCTGTTGCTGCTCGGCTACCGAACTAACTTGCACTGCCTGATAAATCTGGAATCGAGCGTAGATTTTTTTGAAGCTCTACTAAATGCACGCCACTTCTAATTCGAAATACGTGGCAGATTGATAAAGGTGGAGGCTTGGTATACCCCGAAGCTCTCAATAAGGTCTCGGGTCGCGAGAAAGCATTTCAAAGCGCTGTGGTCTGGAATCTATACCATGTGAGCCTCATGCCGTACAATCTCGAAAAAACAGCTCCATGTACATGTCATGGCCACAACTCAACCTCATTGTTCGCATTAGTTTTTTTGACCTGCCTCAACTGATAAAGCTAAACGCTGACAGAAAGGTGAATGAGCATTTCCAAGTACATGTCCACTAAGTATTTTAACTGCTCCAAGTGAGATAGGTTGAGTTAGAAAAGCAATCGCCAGCGCGATGATCACACTTTGCGATAATTTTACTCAGATGCTGAGCCACTTTTCTTCTTAAAGCAGCTGCACGCGTGTCACGTCTTACGCCAATTTTCTCCATAAACCAGCTGCTTCATTGCAACACTTCGTCCAACACTCGAGTAATTCTTGGTCATCAAATCTCAATGATTTCACAGCGCTCGCAAGCTTCGAATCCCTCGCTCTGATGTCGCAAGCTGCTAACATCTTTCAGCGTATGGAGACGGGACTATGCGCCGCTCCGTTCCGTTCATCAGTGAAAGCAGCCCGAGAGCTGCAGCTGCATCGCTTCTCGAGACACGAGACCTGCTATTCATGCACTTGGTGTCGGTGGCCTGACTCATGGACGAAGTGGGGGGCGGCTGGAAGTATGTCCGGTGCGATGGACGCCCCTCTTGAAAAGCTAGGATATCGTGGGTGAGAAAGTGTCGGTTCGACTTTCTGCCTTCCAAGACACTGCCGATGATGTCATCACTTAGATCCCGATCGTTTGGCGGACGAAGAGTGCACGAGTTCATTGAAGGATCCAGTATTCGCCAAACGTCTGCTCTCGGGTCGCCAAAATGTGAAGTGACGGTAGATACGGACAATCTGCGATAAGATGGAGGGAAAGGCGCACGTCTGCCTGAACCTATTATCCCACTCTATTTCGGAACAGCTGCTAGGAATGTTTATGGACGTTTATAGCCGGATGGCAAATTTTGATCGCACTAATGTTCTATGATGATCGTCTGATTGACATTCGCGAAATGGAATCCAAGGCTCAGCGACAATTTTCACGTGCGTGAATGCTGATCTTGTTAATACCACAGCTTTTCTATCGGGAAACGCCGACACAGAGAGGATTGATGACAAGAATCTGGTGATGTGCAGAACGTTAGTAGAAGACACTGCCAGAAGATACACCAGATGACAGGCACCGCTATTCGTCGTTGCTGTTGCCTCGGGTTTCTGTCCGGGCCATTATACCTATAGTCTAACGAAGCGTGCACAACTCCGCGGTGATTTGGGTACTTACGCATAGAAAGAGGCGTTCTCGGTGCCACGTGTATCGTTGCCGAGTTGTTAGGATCATGATTCTCCGGCTTTTATTTCGAAGCTGTCTTGCACATCAACTGATTCACGAAGCAATTTATAACCTTGCCTCATACGTACCAGTAGTTGGATCATAATAAACCTCTAAAGCCTCATAACGTTGCGCGGGTACCCAGAGGTACAAGAGATAGCTGACAACTTCGTCCACTCGTCCACTTGTTCATTGGTCTTAATCTTTGATTAAAGCGAAAGTGGTCAACACCCAAGCTTATGGCTTAAAAACCGCACACCTTCAATGCGAGCCTATCTTACACCATCCGTCGATTTGCCTTCTTTTCTTGCCGACAATTGAACTGCAGGAGTTGGTAATACAAGCATGCCCATGGAGTCGAAACCGTCTCTGTTGGTCCAAGCACCATCTTTACTGGTAAGGACACCGCTTCAAAAAATTGGACAGGGAAAACCTTTTTAAACTAGCTGAACGGAAGCGACCTAATTCTCCATTTCTTCTGAAATCAAGCCCAGACGGTGCTAGCGACCAAAATATCGCAACAATAGGCTTCACTGTTGCACGAAGATTCAGTAAAATACCTCAGCGGGTTAAAAACGATAGAAAATATGTACATAACCTGCAGCGTATTTACTCAAAGTTTACAGCAAGATCAACCAGAGGGTTGCCTGGACTATCACAACTTAAAATAGACCACGTCCTCGCAGCCATCACTTTATTGTTGTAGACTTAAGTGAACAGCATAGCGTGCTGTCGAAAACCTATCCTCAATAAGTATCGATTTATTTAAAAAATCTTCCTGGTTGTTCACCAGTTAAATCCGGAAAGGACTCATCGAAATTAAACACTAATTGGAAAGTTAATTGGTAATTCAACAAATATACCATTAAATGGAAATAATTTTTTTTATAAATACAAGATGAGAGAGCAAAGTTTTATTTATTTTAATGCATGATTTACTTTTACACTCCAAATGGATGAAATATGGAAACAAATCACTGGATATTTTTTTTATGTTAGAGCATTTATTATGCGTATAGCGAGACAAAATTTGAAGATAATTGAGAACCCTTTTATTACCTTAAATCCGTTGTGTACTGCTGCGGCGCTTCACATCGAGATGATCATTGACAGGAAAATCGTTTATGATGAAGCCATGGCAGACGCCAACGCTAACTAGCTACTTCGATGATGTATTAGTAGCTCTCAATCGAAATTTGGTACGTTATCACGATATGCGTATGGCGTTAAATATACCTAGCCTTGTAAACCACCTTTACATTTGGTTTTAAAGCCGAGTCAAGAGACAAGTGTGGGTGTAGGATCGCGTATTAAGGTTTTTGTACTTACTTTATGTCAACGTATCATTTAAATCAGTAGATGAATTAGTTCTGATGCAAATAATGAACTGATGCTATTTTGTGTACAGGAAGTAGAATGTTTGCACTGTTTAAACGGAGTTGCTCGATGGGCTGCACGTCATCATCGAATAGTATTATTGTAGCTCATGTGCGCCTCTAGCGTTCAATTTTAGCGAATAGCCCAAGTATCTTTCCCTTGCCACACACGCAAATGCATGTAAGCAGTAGTTTTAGGGAAAAAAATCAATTTTGTCACATGTAAAATTGATTTGTTTTCTTTGTTTTGCTGGCCTATCCTTCAATAATTTTAAAAATGACATAAACGTGTTTGAATAAAAATCAAAATTTGTACGAAATGTTGTCTTGCGATACGTAAATTTTACATCTTAATGTTCGGTTGAATTTTCAACAGCTTGTCGTGTATCAATGCTTCATATTTTTCAAAATACCAATGGCTTATATGTATTTGTGATTGGTTTTACCTGGTAAAATTATTTCTATTCCTGCATTATTTGATGGTTGATAAACTTTCCAAATCATATGACAGGGGAGCGAGCAAGCTGGGGCTCGCCTTTTAAATAGGTAATTTAGCTTATACAACTAATTTAAATTGCAAGACACCATATGAAAGCATTGTTGACTGAAGTACGAGTATGAAGCTGTAAAAATTTCCAATGTAAACAACCCAGAAGAATACTCATGCAACTTAAATAGCCTTTGCTCACGAGCGCCTAGTGTTTGCTTTCATGATGATAGTCATCTTTGATCTATTATAGGCAGACCACGTGCGTGCATCAATATAGTGACCTCGCCATAGAGCGACACCTATCATGCTGGTCGACCTATAAAAATGAGTCAGGCTTGATCGCACTTAGTACGTGCAAGGTTTACCTAGCCGTGTCGTCTACATACATACAGTCATACAGACACAGACACACACAAAGATAAGTACGATATCAAAAGTCTGGCATTCGACCCTTGCAAAGTCACTGGTAGCTTCACCCCTCAAAATCGCAATTAGCATACCAATACTCCGTGATTAATCATGTTATAGCAGTACCTACGATAGATCGGGTGTATCCATCCCTGACTCTTTTCTTGTAAATGTTCTTGCAAGAGAGACACCTCCCTGACATTTAACTTGATGGCTTCTGATTTCCAATTTAACTGCCTAACGATCATACTGTATTTTTGATGTTGTATAAACACAAATATGGCATGTTCGATATACATTAGGAAATTATACAGCTCCAGAAAAGTCGACAAGAGGTCAGTAAACCATACCTTAGTTTGTCAAAGCGACAAGGACTTTACAAAAATTCGATAAATGTAAAGGGAGGGCATGAATGATACAAAATCAGGGCATGGACATTAAATATGGATTTTAGAACATGTAAGAATTGTAAAATGCATGATGAAGGACACAGAAGCAATCTCTAAGGCTAGCCATTAATGCAGAAAATTAAGCATAGAGAACTAAATCAAGTACCGTGAAATTCACGCACCCTTTTTGGGTGGACACGGGCTTGGCAACGGGTCCTGCTGTGTGTTTTATTTTGAAAGGTGCTGATGGATTGTACGGATCTACCCGTTGGAGTTTTCAGTTTATTAAAGCGACGAGCATGGGAAAAGGAAGTCTAGCTTAAATTATGCTCGTAAAGCCGTCAACATGAAAAAGCGTGCGATGACGACTAAAGTTTGGTGGGAAAAAGTGAAAATAAATTTGGGAGCTTCCGTTCTGATACCGAGATTGTAACTACAAGATCTAAAGATCAGAATGCATTTAGAAGTGCTTACGATGGAAATAAGTCTGCATGTACTGGTGCCCGGAGGTGCAAGATTTCGCTGCCCCTAAATGAAAAGTTTGTTTTTCATTCCTATTTGCGTTGGTTACTTTTGAGCAAATGATGTGCTAGTAATGGTGTGTGCGTGGCGTGCACTCGCAGCACGGTCATGATTCTTGACCTACTTAACAAATAATATATTATCCACATCTACCAAAAGTGGTTAATATCTCGCTTGCATCGCAATAAAGATACCACTATTTATACGACGGTATTACGTGTGGTGAACTTTGTAAAAAGTTAAATTGTTGCTGAAGAAAAAAGAAAATTCCGATTCTAAGAATTTGAGATGCCACAAATTGCTAAATGATGACGGGAAGTGATATCTATAATCCATGCGAATGACAAGGTTAGCAAAATTCCTTTTAATTATGAAACTAGTTAAACTGATGTCCGTCTAACTGTAAGAGAAGGACCGGAATTGTGACAGCAAATTGTGGAAAGCACAAGCGGTCTCTTTTGGGTGTATAGAGGTTCAAGTGCAAAGAAACCGATATGGTATCATGCGCCCTGGTACAAGACTATAGTATATTGTTATGTGGTCTAGACTTGTCTACCGCACTCTTCTCAATTAAGATCGATGTACTTGTAATCTGGGAATAGCTGACTTGAATGGGGACGAAGTAATTAGTCAAGGTGGACATGGGACCAGGTAGTTCATCTATGGTGAGATTCCAATATTGATCATACTAGGCTCAGATCGAGATTGTGCCGCCAAATACCATTTATGTTGTATAAGTGCATATAAGATCATAATTTTACACATATGGAAGGATATGTAATGGCGATCGATAATGAAAATTTGCATGAAGGAGCTCAGAATGGTGCATGGAGCGATTAATGGGTATCAACACAATGAGAACCGGTTAAATGTGTCCTCACTGATGCCGCAAAGTTGATCAATATTTATTCAGCGTAATTTTTCGAATGTTTTGAATCGTCTATGTAAATTCGCTATATTCTGGATATGATCGCAAATTATAAGAAATCGTAACATCTTGGTTAGGTAGTACGATATTACAATAATCAACGTCATAATTGCACGATAGTTAAGGTGATTGAACACGTCTTAGGGAGCAATTATATAAAAAAAGGTATATCGGTTTAGGGTTATCCAACGGTTATGGATAGAGACAAGGATAGGTTAGCTATTATTTTGGATAGTCGTGCAGGATTCAGGTATAAACTGTATACCTGTTTTGAACATGCTATCAAACATGTGTGTTGTGCTATTATCGTTGGGTTTCCATTAATCGTTCATCATCACCGACCTAGGTGTTTTTTAAAATGAGGAAATCGAGACATTATTAGGTGATTCCACATCGCACAGCTGACTCACCAAGAGGTACTATTCTAAAAACTCCAAGTCGTTGAGAAGTTAAACAACAAGGTCGGTGACGTCTGCGTCTGCTCCACCATTGCCGTGCTAACATCGTATCACAAGTAACAGCTCGCTGTCAAGTAGACCAGCGTCGACCTGGGAAGCTCTATTCCGCCGAGCGGCGACGACGTGTTCAAAGTGCCGACAATTTGGAGGTAGGACACACCGCAAAGACACGCTGTTGTACGCCACCTCAACTCAACATCGACTTTTCCGCTTTCAGTACGGTTACGCAGCGATGTGTAGACTCGCTTGACGGTGTCGTGCTGGTGTTCAACGTCGGCCGATGAACCCAGCCCGCAGTACAAGCGGCGGGGAACCAAGGCGAGAAGGGGCCAGCACTTCCTGATCAAAAACCAGATCATGCGCGGCTGGTACATTCTAATCCCGACGTTCCCCTTAAACGCGGCATCTTTATGCCCGCAAAAGCTGAGAAACTAGCAGAGGAGACCAGCGCCGTCCAGGACATCGTGCCGACGGGAGATCAGGGCGGGGGCCGTAAAACAGTGCAGCCGCAGGTTGCCGATGCCAATCCCAAAGAATAGCGTCCCGTAGTATCGCGTCAAATTCAGGTGCAACTGAATTTGACGCGATGCTACGGGACGCTATTCTGAGTAGAAGGGATCGCAGATTTTTGCAAACGTGTAGAATTGACTACAAACTAATTTTTAGCGGTAGAAAAGGCTTTGTATGGCATGCTCGCGCTGGCCGTCGTAGCTGGGGGATAACATCATTCAGGTGATCCAGCATATAGAGAAAGCATGCGTAGGCAATTCCCATTGTCGCCGAGTCGAATTCCAGCACGCTGATGCACGTGCAAATCGGGTCGAACTGGTCGGCAGAGCGAGCGACGTTTTTTTCGGAATAGATAATCTCGCATGATCTTGGTGAAGGCAGGGTTAGTTAGAACGATGGGCCGATAACGAGCTGCTTATTCTCGGTTTGGACCACCAATGAAATCCCGGACTTGAGCCGCACGACAGTCCGGAGGCGCTACAACATGCAGTTCACAAGCTCTTACGAGACGGCGGGAACATAACAATGACCAGCTCCACACCAAGCGACCGCTTGCAGATGATGGAAAGAAATCCTTGGAAGATCCTGATAGTTTACCGTCTCATACTGGGACACGGCATGCTTTTAGAATGTCTTAAGCGTTTGCACTAATACCAAATCTTCGACCAGGTTGTTAATTGGGTAGGCGGCGCATTCGTTCGAGAAGCCAGTCACATTCTTCTCAGCGAGTTTGGCTCAAAGACAGCGCTAAACGTTGCGCGAGCTCCAAATACACCCGATCACGACCTTCTGACCAGCCGAGTGGTGCAACGCGTCGATCGAGGCATTTATTTTTACCAGCAATTTATTAGCAGACTCCTTCTTAGGATCCACCCGCAGGTACTCCTTAACCTGGGCCGGGGTGTAACGGGGCACCCTGAAGCTTGTACTGGTGACAGTACAAGCTACTTATTCTGATGACAGAATAAGGCGGTGCCTCGTAACTTCACGTACACTCGTACGTGCAGAGGAAGACGGTAAGAAGAAGCGAGTACTTGGTTAAAGTAAAAAGTAGAACTGTATTTATAATAGTTAATGTCTGCAATAAATCACTATTTATCTTCATCTAACTATGTCTAAATACAAATGTGTAAATCAGTTATCTGCTCACCACTCATTGCGTGCGTCTGTCGTGGCGCGTCTTCGTTGGTTGATATAATGGCCTATATCAACCAATTAGGAACTACTCGTAAGTGCTACAGAATATTTGTCCTTATGACAATATTCTGTGAATATAACTCTTATAGTTACATTCTATTAACAATTTCTTATAAATTGTTATGTAACGATTCACCCCGTTACATCACCCCCCCCCCTTAACCATCAGTCACTTTAGTGACTGATTGACTAAATGGATACTCGTCCCAAATCATTTGGGACAGGGTTTGCACTTGTTGGTCCGCGTCCACTTTCCAACATCTCATCGCATGGTTAACAAGCCCATGCGATGCGCGAGCAAGGCCGCCGAGAGCGCGTCCGCACGTCTCTGTGCGGACGCCGAAGCAGAAACCACAGCAACTGATGTCTCATCGGTTGCTGAAGCGACCCATCCTGTGTCACTTGGTGATGCAGGAGCTGGTCATGAAGACACTCGTGTCTTCACAGAGTACGAGCTCGGTGTCTCGTACTCTCCTGATACAATTGACGGATCCGTATCGACGGCGATTGAATCTAAGCATCCTGCCAAGCGTGGCATGGATGATGCTACGCGTCGCAGCATCTTTGGTTCATCTGACGATTCAGATGAACCATCGCCGAAGCGAAGGCGCTCGAAGTCGCAAGACTCGGGCGCTCACAGTGGTGTCGGTTCTCCTATTGACACCACTTCGCAACGAGGTGCCAGTACTTCTATCGGCACGTCGCAAGAAGTGCGGGACCGCAGTGTATTGCGTCTCGCTCCTGAAAAGAAGGCATGGATGCCTCCTAAATCCGTCATGGATCACTTGTCGGCGACGACGAGTGATCGTTATCGAACACGATTGTTCGATTCGTCAAGGATCCATCACCTTGACCCCAGTGTGAAAAACTATCGCGCTGAGAACGATTTCTTCATCGATGCTTTCTTTAGACATCGATGGTACAGTGGGAATCACAAACGTGATGGTCCCTCACTACTTCAGGCGTGGAACGCCTACATCCATAATCTCGAGGATGTAGGTCGTGACGGTTGGAACGACAAGCTTAGTAAAGCTCGTGATAAGTTTGAAAAGCGAACCCCGACAGGTGCACGCTACAAGCTGCATCGTCTGTCAAGGGAGAAAGGATTACCTGCCTCTCTTGGGGAGACTCGTGCCCATGTTGTGTGAACAACTCTGCACGAGCACCTAAGGAGGCTTACCTCCTTACCAGCCCGTGGTGGCGCGTACGTGTCTCTACTGAGATGTACGAAAGGATTGACAACCTGAAATCCCTTTACGACCGTGCTGGGAAGACTTCCTCCGGCGGTCCTTCTGCGGCACAGGATGTGCCGCGTCGTACTGCTCAACCAGACCCAGTACGTCGATCATCAGTTGGGAGCGGGGCTCCCAAGAATCCCAGGACGAGGGATAGCCGCGCCACCGGACGAGATAACTCGTCCGACGTCCGTTCACGTCGCGGTGGTTCAACAGCTGCTCAACTAGATAGCGCTGGCCACCGCGAGAGTCCTCTAATGGAGGTGGAGGAGGAGGAAAGACGCTCTCCACACGATCATGTGGATCGGTGTGTACCCGAGAGCTTCTTTGATCGCGTAACGCAAGGGTTACGCGGCAATCTCGAGCATGAGCGGAATAGGCGTCTCCAAATGGCGGACACTGCCTCGAAGCATCGAGCTGAGTTTGCCTTTGCTCAGCTCGAGAACGAGAGATCTCTGACATCTCTTCGTGACGAGCTAAGGGTAGCTCGTGGGATTGCTGATCGGTCTCGGGATGAGATAGCTGCTCTTCAGACCCTTGTTGATGCCCACCATCGGGAGCACAAGGCTCTCTGCGAGATGCTTGAGCGCAAGGGCGTTCTTCATCGGAAGAAGCAGCGTACTGTTGGTACGGCTTAAGTCGACCAACGTAAAATGTGGGATGCGTTCGCATCTTACGTGGCAACTCGATCGTGTATGCATTGCCTAGGCGATGCAATACATGAAATGGGCCGATGTACTTGGGTAGAAGTTTACTGCTACTCAAGTTAGTCACCACATGCTTTGGTAGATTAACCGTAGACAGTAGGACTAAGTCACCTTTATTAAATAAAAGAGTGCTTGCCCTTCCATTCTTGTCAGCTTTTTGCTTTTGCTTATCCACCGCTTCGGCTATGGAGTCTTGCACAAAACGGACTACCGTTTCACGAGCCAGTATGAACTGATCTGATGAATCGTTAGCTTCAGTGCGCTGTGAGTGCACTGCAGCAACAGATCTGATGACTCGTTAGCTTTAGTGCGCTGTGAGTGCACTGCAGCAACATCAATCCTTTCTTCAGTGAGGGCTCCGCGCTCTCACTGGCATCATCTTCTTCGATATTGATGTTATCGATATCGGCATCAAACGCAATGACTTCTTCGTCAGAGCGTGATGAGCGTGAACCAAATCGGTTTTTGCTCGCGCGAGTCCCTCCCCCCCTTAAACCGGAGTTACACTCGAGTAAGGTGGGTACACGCGGATGGCGCAAGCCATTCACGTAAAACGGTGTATGTGTCGTGGACGCATGCACCGAGTTGTTGATGGCAAACTCTACCATTGGCAAAAACTCATTCTAACTCTTAAAGGAGTGTACGTATCCTCGAAGTATCTCTTCAAGGACACGATTGGCACGTTCCGTCTGACCATCTGACTCTGGATGATCAGATGTTGACATCTTCAAGCGCGTTCCGATTGATTTGAACACGGAACGCCAGAAATCAGCAGTGAATCGTGGATCTCTGTCTGATACGAGTTCACGGGGCAACCGATGAAGTCGGAAGATGGTGTCAATAAAGACACAAGCACAGCCACTTGCCGTGATTGTCTCTGGTACAGCCACAAGGTGTACCATTTTGCTGAATCTGTCAACAAATACGAGAATACCCGTATTCCCGCGTGCGTCTTTGGGTTACGCGAAGACAAAATCCATTGAGATGGATTCCCAGCACTCAGCCGGAACCGGTAGAGGCTGTAAAGGTGCACGCAGTGAAGGACTTGACTTCACTCGTTGACAGACTTCGCATGCGCGAACATACTTTCGCACAAACTGATACTGGCGGGGCCAGTAAAAGTCTCGACTTACCGTGAGATATGTTTTCTTCTCGGCCACGATGTCCTCCTATAGGAGCATCGTGATACTCGAACATGATCCGCAAACGCAGATCAGTATCATCTGGAATGACAACACGTGGTGTGTCACCAGAAACGGCTGTATAATACAGTAACCCGTTGCGAGTAGTGTATCGATCTGATGCAGATCGATACGAAGACGACAATCGTTTCAACGATTCTCGAGATGGTTGGGAGAGATGTGTCAGCAACTTCACTATCTCACCATCTTGGGCGTATGCCCGCCTCACATCATCATACAACGTTGTAGATGGGACTGAGGACGTCATAACCGCTACAGTGACTGTCTCACTGTTGGGTTTCGCGACTGTTTCACAGTCGGGACGACGTGAGAGTGCATCAGCGACGACATTAAGTCGTCCTGGTTTGTACTCGACCGTAAAGTTGTATTCCGCAAAGAATGACAACCACCGCGCCATTCGTTGTGAAAGGTGCGGGCTGTTCACTGCCGTGCGTAATGACGCATGATCAGTGTAAACAACGAAGGGTCTATCTCCTAATAGATAGACTCTGAACTTCGCAAGTGCATACTTCATGGCAAGGAGTTCCTTGTCATGCACTGGATAGTTCCGCTCAGCTGGTTGCAGCTGACGCGACTGATAGCAGACGACGCGTTCAACGCCTTCAAGATCGTACTGCTTTAATGCACAGCCGATTGCGAAATCGCTGGCATCACAGACCACATGAAATGGCCTGTCCTGATCGGCAAT